GGACGCGGCTTCTGACGATTGCTTTAAGCTTAGTTGGCTGGAGCTGGTTGTTTTGTTTATGCAGGGTGGTAGTTCGGTTTTCCCCATCCGTCATTTGGTCTCTGGTCAATGGGTTGATGCTGAATCGTCTCCGCTATCCCAGGTGCCGACCACTCTGATTGTACAGCTCAGGGTTTTCAGGCATGTTATTCGACAGGGGCTGCGAGCGCTTAAGCTTCAGGAGCTTTGTGTCAGTGGTCTCGACCTTACCTTTCTGGGTGTTGGGTTTCCTCAGGATGGTATTTTCGTTGGCTGTGATAACATTGCTCTTCAAGCTGCTCGGGCAGCCATTTCTCGGTTCTGCGCTGGCCGCTCTGTGCAGAGAATAGGGGCCTTCGCACGACCCTTTTCCTTTCTTTAGTTCCGACTGACTCGGACCATGCGCGCTGCACCGCTCTGCTGTGCACGCGCCTTCAGGCCGTTTGAGATATAACTACCCATGAACCCCCAAGCAGGGGAACAACGACAGGTCTCGGGTTCTCCCTTGCACTTGGGAGTTTCCGAAAATCAGGGGTATCTTATTGTGGGGTCCTTATAACAAGGATCCTACTGTTTAGGGTGCTATAGTAGGGTCCCCTATTTTTCGGAAACCTCACTTGGCTTCGGCCGGACTACCATTCCTCGCGGGCTGCAGGCAGAAGCTTTGAACCAAAGAACCCGATCAACCGCATCTAAGCCTCCCCTGCTTCAAACATCCCAACATCCCAACCCTCACAGCTTTGACCAGGACTCCGTGCTTATACAGCCCTAACTAAAAGTTTTTTGATTCACATTCAATTTACGGGAAAACCCTAAACCCTAAACCCTAAACCCTAAGGATTCTTGAAAGTTTGCTGTTGTGATTGCCAGGCCGGAAGCACCGCAGAGGTGCGGGCAGCGAGAGCCAGGCCAGGGGACAGCACACCATGGGTTCTTGTAATATACCTATAGTCTCCATTGTAGTTCCTTTTTGGGGATACCTTATAGAATCCTTACTATATTATTGGTTAAACCAAAAAAAGGAACTACAATGGAGGCTATAGGTAGGGGCCTGAATACTTACCTGTACTATTTTGGGGGTTCCTTATTGTAATTATAGCATAATGGGCCCCCAAACCCTATTCTAATTATTAAGGCCTTTATACTATGGTAATCAGGTTCAGACTTGAGGGCTTGATGGTGAAGGTTCAGGGTCTATGGAGGCTTTGGGTTGAGGGGTTGGCAAATTTTTCCGAACTTCGGGCGCCCGGCGAGCTTTGCAGGGTCTCTGGAAGCCATTGGGCTGAACAAGGGAAGCATAACCGAATTCTGATTACTAAGGCACTAAGGCCCCTGACAGGAGGCAGATGCAGGTGCCCGATGTTACAAGCTACTTGTATCGTTTCTGGCGCGCCAAAGTCTTCCGCAAGGCCCTTTAAGCGATTGGGGTTTGGAACTGAGGCGTCTCTGGCCGGCGAAGCATTTCTTTGCCAAGTTGGGCCGCGCAGTGTCAACCAACCCCCCATGTGTGTCTGTTGCGCAAGACGGCGAGATCGATTGGTAGGAAATATAATTGGGAAGGCCAGAACGAGGAGCCCAACGCCTATGCGTCAACTCCGTCAATCTGCCTGCAAACCTTGTTTCATATCCAGGAAAGCCATGCAGCGGCGGCAGGAGGAGGCACATCAAGCGGAGAGCTTGTTTGGAGCGTTAGGGGTCGCCAGCGAAGAGTTTATGTAGGAACTGGTGTTCTTCTAAGCGAGCTTCAGCTGCCGCAACCGTGTGTAATCCGTACGCGGTACTTACTTGGCATGCCGTAGCCTCGCGCGGGCTTTTGGGCTCAGAGCAACAGAAAAGCTCCGCTCATCATTGCGACCCAGCTCTGGCCCGAGGGGGCGTGGTTTGGTGCCTTAGGGACTTTCGGGCGGTTTGGGCATTGGGGTTTTGGTGTCTCAGGGCGTGTTTTCCATTTCTGGGTTTGGGTGTTGGGCTTTTGGATATGTATGCTTTGCTCTCAGCCACAGACTGCCGTTGGATCTCGTCGTGACTCTTCATCCGTGATCCTTCGGTCGATGATTGAGAACATGCATGGCGACGAAGTCTTTGAGTACACCGGTACAGTATCGAATAGACATTAAATACAGATAGACTCATAGAGCCGTAAACAAACAGACAACCGGGCACGCGGTTTTCCGAGCTTGTCCTATGTATGAGACTTCTCGAGACAAAGGGCTCTGAACCTCTGAGCTGCACCTTGAAGCCTTTGTCCCGGTTCCCTACTTGGAGGATCATGGGGCTTAGTAAATAAGGTTATAGGCCCCTTTATTGGGGTTATAAGTATAGTTACCCTAACTATAACCCTACCTACTAAGTCCCATGATCCTTTAAGTAGCCCAGCAGTCGAAGAAAGCCGAGGTTGACGATGCTGGACTGCCGCGCATGCGTCCCCTTTGACAAAGCCCACGACACCGTGCGAGTCCAGCTGAAACCGGAGGCCCCTATCGCTGAGGGGTGCAGGATTTCGACCCTTTTCTTTGGCAGCAGGCCCGAGGATTCTCTGCCTTCTGCGGGGGACGGTTGCTGCTAACCTTGATGAAGGGCGGTCTAGGACCATGGCCTCGAAGGGATCAGGGCCGAGAAGACTCTTTTAAGGGTTTTACGTGCCTCGGTCTCACAGGACTTCGCAAAAGTACGCACAACACAGGCCCTCGGACCCTGAGAGATGACGATGATGGTCATCACAACACAGTGCGGACATATCAGAACTAGCCAGTGCTACCGACAACAGTCGCACGACCGACGCATGCAACAGGAAGGTGACACTGACAAACAAAAAGTTACTGCTTATGGCCACGCATGCTCCCAGAAGAGTAGAGCGCTATGTGCTGGACATCATAGCGTCCGTCATATACTGGGCTTACCAGGAGCGGAGAGCTGTAGCATGACCAGCAAAACAAGCCACGAAGAAGCGCATAAGTGATGCCCGGTAAGGTTGAAGACGATGATGACTAAAACCGCAATCATCATCATCATCGTCATCATCATCATCGTCATCACCATCATCGTCATCGTCATCACATCTGAAGATGAAGCAACAGCTCAATTGTTCTGATACAGCTGGGTTAAATGCCATTCAGTCAGTCAGTCAGTCGGTCAGTCAAATCCTTCATGAACCGAAGTACTTTCAACTCGGATCTGGCTCGTTTTGCAAGTGCCTAGACATTATACAGGATTCTCCAGGTTCAGGTTTTGGCATTGGGGGTTAGGGTCCTTGCTCAGTCGGTGTCAGTCATGATCATAACCAGGGGCAGCAGCAACAAAACCAGGCTGCAGCGACCCCCGATCCGGAAAAACTCACGCAGTGAACCCAAAACCCTTCAACAAGTAAGCCTCTTCAACACTCCTAACCAACACCGTGTAAGACCCTCATTATAAACCCAGATAGATCTCGTTTCCCAGAAAACAAAAGCACATCCTTATGCAACCTCTTAAGATAAGAAGATCCTACAGAAGTCCAATTTAATCAAAGATCCCTACATCAAAGCCGCATCGGCGAGGCCCTGGTCGAGCGCTGGGATGCAGGCCGCTTCGAGTACAATCCGGGTCCGTGGAGGGCTTTATGAGGGTTGGGGGTTCGGGGTTTTGGGGCTTAATGTGGGAGCCTGAATCATTAGAATAGGGTTCCGGGGTTCCTTAATTCTAACTATAGTATTAAAAAAACCCTCAAGCCCTATTCTAATGATTAAGGCCCCTACATAAAGGTCTGGGGTTTCGGGCTTTTTCCGAGGTTCCATAGAGGTCAAACGGTTTCGATAAGAGCTTCTCGTGGCTTCTTTCAGGTTTTGTTTTTTTACCTAGGTCCCATCGGCGGTCTCAGGTTTCTGCAACAGTTCTATAAAGACTTCTGCCAGGGTCGTGCAGCGGTTCTTTGGCAAACTCTAGGAGTTGGGGCTTCGTTTTTCGTTGGTTAGGGGGGGAGGGGGTAAGGTGTGGGGTTTTCGGGCTGGCGGCTGGGCGGCGATGCTCGTAAGGGCTAGAGCGTGGGGCTTAGGATTTCGGACTTAGGATTTATGCTTGCTGTTCAGAGCTTTGAAGGTTGGGGGTTTTTGGGGTTTCACAGGTAGAATCATACTTGGAACTCCGATTCGGATATCTTGGAGCATCTCGGGTTGTCCTCAAGATCACGGCCGCCCCGGATTTCAAGCCTCGTGCAGTTCAAGGCAATCGAAAGCACATGTCGACGCTAGCGAGATGCCTGCGCACAGTCAGGGCTCAAAATCAGCAGACAGAGTCATCATCGTTTTCTTGGGCGCATCTGATCATGGAAGCAAGATATCAGCCCTAAAACCTCAACATGTCTGCGAACTCAGTGTGGTTTCATTTCTCCACGCCTAGACCCTGGCCTGGGCCAAACACGGCAGAGCCACCTCACGGCGATCTATCACTGTTGGTAGTGCCACAGCGGAGGAGGGAAGAAGATGGAAAAGCACAACAACCCTAAACCCTAAACCCTAAACCCTAAACCCTAATGGCAGCCATCCGAGCCTCCATACTCGTCCTATGAGTGGTATTGGTCGGCAACAAGAGTTTTGGTCAGAGCAGTAAGATGTGGATGTGCTTGGAGGGTTCCAAAGAGACGCTAAGACATAGTACAGTCATCACCCTCGGATTTATGACACATGCCCTACCGTGAGGAATTGCTCTTTGCATCACAATGGCCCCCCCCAATCGGTGACTGGAGCCAGGTGACGGCCGCTTTGTAGAGCTGCACGAAGGCGATAGGCTTCTGGTCGGCGCCAAGACGCAGGCCTCTGGGGTGATGGGGCTGGGAACTTGAAAGGGGCCCCGCAAGCTTAGTGATATAGTCAGCGCCCCCTGCGCCATGGTCTTCTGCATGAGGACATAGGAGGACCAGCTTTGTTAGTTTGTTTATTTTCTAACGCCGTTTTGGCTCGTAGCTGCTGCTTCTCTCTTCATTTAGTGTTCTTGGCTCTTCAACAGGGATGTTTACCTCCAGCGGCTGCCGCTACGCCGTGCTCGCCATACTGGCCTTCGCGCCATGCTGCAGCGCGGCAGCCAATCAGTGCTGCAAGTATAGCCCGACAGCGACGTTCGACACACTCGGCTTTTTCAGAAGCCTCCACAAAGAGCACGGTGTTAATGCCTACTGCTTCTTTGGAGGACTCGTCGGTGCCAAGGACACCTATGCTCTCACTTTCCTCATTCAAAAGGTTCCTCCCTTCCTCTCCATCGTGCCGGTCTACGAACTTGGTGGAGGCTTCAACACAAAGACAATCCAAACGTACGACCTCGATGCAAGCGTGACGGTCAGCGCGACCGTGGAAGGAGGCGATGGGAAGAAGCCTTGGACCGCCCAGTCCTCGTCGCTGCTTACGGGCTTCGAGCTCTCCGTCTCCGCAGTCGGAGACAGCGCAGTTCCCGGACAGGCAGGTGTCGGGTACGACCTGAAGGTCCACTCCAAAAAGAAGGACTTCGACATCGTGGTGCGCTTCAGGGACATGATGGGCGTGGTGCGCCAGGGCTTCGGGCCCGACGGCTTCTTGCCCAACTGGCTCTCAGAGGAGCAGAGAGATGCGGCAAACTCCAAGTTCGGGGGGGCAGTCGACCGGTACTTGGCCGGGACGCCCAATGCCACCCTGGATTGTCAGGGTTCTTACTACTTTTCAATGCCGCTCCTTCAGGTGGAGAGTTTCGAGATTCAGCAGGCCGGGAAGGTCGTGGATTCCGGAAAATCGGGAATGCTCTGGTCCGACTACGTCGTCCAGACCTACGACGACAAAGGCAAGGCACTCCTCAAGAACGTGAGCTGGCAATTCTTCGCGCTGCAGTTTCCCGACGTCCGCTCCGCGATGATGATCACAGCGGTGAACACAGCCGACGGTGTCTTTCAAGAAGCAAGCCTCTTCCAGGGAAGCGGCGACAACCGTACCACGTGGACGCTGGACAACGTCAAGATCTCTCCGAGGGGACAGCCCTGGACGAGTCCGGCCAGCCACGACCGCTACTACCTCTCCTACGACGTGACCATGAAGAACCCGGATGCCCAGGTGTCGCTCGAGGTGGAGTGGCCTGAGCAGGAGGTGGGCCTGGGGAAGATTTTCAAGTATGAAGGCCTGGCTCGCGCCACTGCGCGCTGGCCGGGCGGAGGCTCCTCCCATGGCACCGGCTGGGTGGAGCTTCAGCCGCTGGGTCCTGTCGAAGGCAGGTCCAGTGGCCGGCTGTCTTCTATTCTTTTCACCTGACGTTCTTACTTGGAGGATCATGGGACTTAGTAAATATCATGTTATAAGGCCCTCAATTGGGGTTATAAGTATAGTTACCCTAACTATAACCCTTCTTACCAAATCCCATGATCCTTGAAGTAGACCCTCTTTAAAAGCCCGAGTCTGAAAAATCCGAGCGCCGCTCTCCCAGGATCCAGATCTCTGTAGCGGTGTTGTGCCATGCGCTGTGCACCCTGCACTCGTTCCCGTACTTGGAGGATCATGGGACTTAGTAAGTAAGGATATAAGTCCCTTAATTGGGGTTATAAGTATAGCTACCCTGCTTATAACCCTACTTACTAAGTCCCATATGATCCTTTAAGTAGTGGGTTTGCAGGCACGGGGTTCGGTATCCAGTGACGCGGAAAGATCCTGTCAATTCCTCGCGAGAACCCAGAGAACCCAATACCCCTTAATTAAGGAATATACCTTGAATTATAGGGGCCCTAATATTATGATTTAAGGTATATTCCTTAATTAAGGGGTATTGGGTTCTCTGGGGAGCCATGAAAGTTTTGCAGTGCCCTGGGCTCCGCAGTGCAAGGTGTGCACAGACCCACGTCTGAGCACCACCAAACCTCGTAGTATGTTGCGTATCTCGTATGCTCCTCACTACGAGTGCTGGATGATCGACCAAACTCCTAGGTAGTATTAGGGAGACCGGTTAAAGGGGACCCTTCTGAACCCTATTTCTGGCTCTCTTAAAAGGGACCTTATTGAGAGGGTCTATATCTGCAAGGGTCCCCTAATCCGAACTCCCACAAACTAGCCTCAGTACCGGCTTTCCAGGCAGAAGCAGACGAGCTGGTGCAGCTCTGGCAAGAACGCTGCTTGAACTGTCTAGTCAGGCGGGTGCTAGCCATAGGCCCCATAGTAGTTCCTTTTTGGGGTTACCTTATGGATGAACCCCAAAAAGGAACTACTTTAGGGCTTATGAGCAGCTTCTATCACTGGATGGGTTTGGGTCATATAAGGTTTCGGGACTTTCCCGGCTGAATGACCCTAAACCCTGAACCCTAAACCCTAAACCCTAAACCCTAAACCCTAACCCCCGACTCTTCAGACACCACTTTTTCTGGAGCCTCTAGCCTGAAGGCGCAAGCTCCCAGGCCCCGACATCGCGAAAGTCTGTATTCTGAAGCCTTGAAAGGCCCGCCAACGGCAACGAGCCCTAAACAGAAATCCCAAAAACCCTTGCTCCTTGAACCCTAAATCCACTCAAGCCTCATGGTGCGAACCTCCCATCTTGGGGAAGCTAAGGCAAGCAGCGGTCAGAGGCCTCGCAGGCTCGCGAGGCAAGGCGGGATTCCTAAAAGTCAGAGAGCTGAGCTACTATGCCGTAGTTACAGACGTATGTTAAATTGTCATAGTTAGAAAGCTGTAGTATATAGCAGTAGCCAGTAAGACATGTAAGCAACAATGAAATGGCAGCAGGAGGAAGAAGAAGGCATGCGAAGGAGAAGACTGTTAAAAACACTCGTGACCGTAGTGATACAAGCGCAAGCAGCACCCTAAACCCTAAACCCTATAAGCCCTATAAATTTTGAACCCTGACCGACTCAATGGGTCCGCTCGGCCATCCGAGGTTGCCGCTATCATTTCAAGCCCTGTGTGTATCCTTCAACTCGCAAAACGAAGGGTTTAGGGTTTAGCCCGGCCACCCACCCTCCCATTATGGACTCCCATTCTCTCAAGCATGCGGATATCTCCGGTTATGTGGAGGGAAATCCCCTTCTCTCAACCACCCCAAACCAGGAAGAGCCTCTGCAGCGTACTGACGAGCCTGCTGAAAGTTGCTGCTTGGCTGCCTATGGCCTATGTGTAAGCATGTGATCGAACACGAGCTGAACATGATTTTCAGCCATAATTGTCGATACATTGAGGGGTGCGTGTTTGTGTGCGTGTGTATATCCATCTGCCTGCCTATTTATCTACTGTTTGTCTATCTTTCCGGCCGTTGTTTTGTGCATGTGTGGATGTATCTGTACATACCTGTACTGTGATATTAAACGTCTGCATAGCCGTGCACATCTGGAAAGTGGGATTGAAGAGGCCCTGACTCTTCCAGCCTCTCAGGCAGTCTTCCCAATGCGCCCCAAGACAGCGCCGAGGACTCATCGCTACTTGGAGGTTAATGGGTAGTTATAATTGGGGTTATAAGTAGGGTAACTATACTTATAACCCATATTAGGGGACTTGTAACCACACTTTAACTACCCATGAACCTCCAAGTATCTTCTGTCATTCAAGGCCAGGATTTGACTTCCGATGTACCTGCGCATCGATGGGCTTTCCGTGTCCTGCTCCGAATTTCTGGGTGGACGTATCCGGTCTATGCTGCTCGTGGCTTTTCGCCCTGCGCTACAATCTTGCTCAGAGTCTTGTTGTGCGCAGTTGCAAGTCACCGTTGACACAAGCTATCCAGATTAATTTGCAGGAGACCACCAGCGAGGCTGCGGCACAGCAGCACGAGGAGGCGGACGAAGAGGAGGACCGCGGATAAGCGTCGAAACGCCGACCACAGCTGAAGTGACCAGCATCAGTACTCTCGAAGTATCCCTATAGTCTCCATTGTAGTTCTTGTTTTTGTTTAACCAATTATATATTAAGGAACGGTATCCCCCAAAAGGAACTACAATGGAGACTATAGGTCTGGTTAACAAAGCACAAAAGCGCAAGTCGAAGCTTCCAATCAGAAGCATTGGCCGGCCCCTGTTAGAGCATCATCAGTTTCAGCCGGCCCTAGGCCCAAACGTCATCAATGCATCAATGTCAGCAGAAATACTTGGAGCAAGCCCTTAACCTGAAGCACTCACCTTCACCCTAACCTAAACCTGATCCTCATACCTGAGACCCTCAACCCTAAATCTCAAACCCTACGTAACTTCCTAAACCCCACAGCTCAAACTCGGGGCCTTCGAGGTGCGCAACAGCGCCGAGTCTCCAGAAGTACCCAACGGCTCTAGCCGATTCTAGCCGCAGATTCTGGCCTTGATGTGCAAGCGCGGTGGTATCTGTTACAGCCACGGCAGTAGCATTGCCAACAATCTTCAGAACGATTAGCTCTTTCTCCCATGAGCAAACATTAGATGAATCAAACGTTGTCTCATCCGGCTCACCCTGCCCCGAGATCCTGAATATTCCTGAATCTTCTGAACCCAGCGACACTGGTGCAGAGGACGTCCCCAGCGAGGCCTTACCGAGCCAAGTACAGGAGCACCTGCGTCGTAAGGTCCCTCTCGTCTCCCGAAGCCCACAGTCAGCGCTGCTGCGAAGCAGACAGGAACAGTAGGTAGTATTATTAGGGGTATCCCTTAAAGGGTACCCCTTCTGAACCCTACTTTTGGCCCTCTTAAAGGGGACCTTAGAGAGAGGCTCTATATCCCCAAGGGCCCCTAATCCTAGCTCCCAAACAGGTGCTTTTAGAAAGGTCAGAGCCTGCAATGCTGCCTCGGAATACGGTCGTTGCTCGCTTTGCTTGCTTTGGGTGCTCGAGTTCGAAGGCCTGCGGAGATCAGCCCCAAAATAGCTTATGTGTCCCAAACACTTCTGAAATGGAGGCCCCGGGAAAACGTAACAGACATTCTAATTTGGGGTAACGCACCCAAGCACCCGCGTATGGGACTAGAAACTCCAAACCAGAAGCCCTAAAGGCCTACAAACAACTTGGAACCCCCTTGAACTGTTTTTCGCCAGGGATTAAGGTTTATGGGGCTCTAAATCCACAAACTATCCGAAGCCCCACCAGCCTTTCCCATATTACTTGCTCTACGTGCTGCCAGGACCAGCGCGAGGCAGAGATGCGACTTGCGCAGAAAGCCCGGGAGGTGCACCGGGAAGGGCGGCGACGATGCCGTGGGGCCTTCATAGTTTCAGGGCCCCATCTCAGGTTTGGGGATTCAGGGCTTAGGGCTTCAGGGCCATTTACCAATATTATTCTAATTTTTGGGGTTCTCTTTTATAGCTATAGTATAATGGACCCCAATACCCTATGATAATAATTATTATTAGGGCCCCTACAAATTAGGAATCATATGATTTGTAGGTCTTTAGAATCAGGTTTACTTGGAAGTGGTGTTGAGCTCAGGGTTGCAGTCGTTTGGATACGTTCTTGTCTTGAGGCCCCCGTAGAGTCATAGGACCACAAAGACGGCTTTTGCAAGGTTCGCATAACTTCCCAGAGAACCCAATACCCCTTAATTAAGGAGTATACCTTAACTCATAATATTAGGGCCCCTATAATTTAAGCTATATTCCTTAATTAAGGGGTATTGGGTTCTCTGGGTTCCCAGATTGTTCACATTTCGCTGGGCCGCCTTCAAACCCTACATCTTCCCCGAGCAGAGCGACTGCCGTGCTGAAGGCAGACATGCTTCGGCAGAAAGAGGAGGAGGCCCCAAAGAGATTGAATAGGGTTTAGGGTTTAGGGGTCTGTGGCTTTTCGCGTCGGGTTTACGAGTGTCAGCGGAGAGTTTGTGAATCTTCGGGATGTCGGGGATGGGTTGAAATCTGGCCCAGCAGTGCGGTTCGTAGCAGGGTTGCAGAAGGAGTTGCAATATTCTTGCTTTTGGTAGGGCATGACAACCGCTTTTTGGTGCTATTGTGGTGATGATCATCACCAGTGTCATTGTGGCAGTTGCCAGCAGCAGCAGCAGGATCTTTGTACTGGCTTCAGTTTCTTGTCGCAAGTTCTATGAACTTTTATCTACGGGCATTTTGGTTTTGACACATAGAGAGCCGTAAGGACTATCAGATACTGCAAGGACTCCTGAAAAGGGACCCCACCCCTCATCTCTGCGGCTCTCCGTCTTGTCGAAGCTTTTCCTCAGGAGTGCGTGCGACGGCAAGCGAAAGAGAAGGACGCGATACTCCCGAGAGAAGTAAGCATGCTAGAGCGCCGTGGCAGGTGTCTGATTATATTTAAACCCCGCCTTCGCAGGGGTCGAATGAAAGTTAAACCTCGGAGATGCGACTTACTTGGAGGTTCATAAGTGGGGTAAGTATACTTATAACCCATAATAGGGGACGTATAGCCCCACTTATAACTACCCATGAACCTCCAAGCAGAGATGCGACATAAGGCCTTCTTAGACCTCCTGCTGCTCAGTGATTGCTTGCATGATACTCGCTGGACACACACTTGGAGGTTCATGGGTAGTTGTAAGTGGGGTTTGGGTTTAGGGTTACCAGTAGGGTAACTATAGAACCTCCAAGCAGAAGATCAGAGCCTTGGCGCCGAGTGTGCGAGGAACAGCAGCGGCGAGTGGAGGCCTCTGCTTACTTCGGGGATGCAGCCTGTCTTAGACGATGCCAAGGGCTTACGTGAGGAAGTCAGTGTCATCTAAAAGGGAATGTCCGCATTCAAGACAAGTGTGCTTGAGGGCGCGCGGTGTGTGTGAATGTGCGCAAGACCGTACGTAGGCACAAGAACTGGAAGCTTCAAACAACGGCCGTGCTCCCTGTCCCTGTAAACCGCTCTTTTGCGGTTCTCCCGTGCGTTCGTGAGTCTGGATTAGCTGGCACTCCGTGTCGAAGTTGCTCGTCTTGCCCTGCCTTCAGGAGTTCCTCCATGCCAACGGCTTTGTAGCGCTCGACCACGCCAAGCGAGTGCAGGAGACGGTTTAGGGTTTAGGGTTTAGGGTCATCAACTGAGATGAGTCGTTTAGGGTTTAGGGTTCTCTGAAAGGCCAAAGTGCCGGCGGGCAACTCCCTGTAGCAGAGTTGGAGGCCGCATCGCAATCGATGTCAGGGTTCTAGGACTGACGTTGGACTTTGGTAATATGCTCTCACACAAATTACGGCCTTTCAACCAAGTGACTAAGCTTCTGAAGTTCATCCGGGCCAGCATGATTAGAAGACCCTGACCCTCCTCAACATGTTCCCGGAAGCCTTAATTAAGCTACACCCTGAGACCCCAGTGGGCGTCAGAGGGATTTGGCTCCTGCACCTGTAGCCATCGCCCAGGGCCCTGTCAGCTCCACTCTAAGTCGGAGCCCTCAAGCCGATCCCTAAACCCTAAACACCTTACCGGAGGGGCCTAAATAATTACCAATACTATTTTGGGGTTCCTTATTATGATTATAGTATACTGGGCCCCAAAATCCTATTCTGATCATGGCCCCAATATGAACCCTGAGCCCCTAAACCCGAAACCCTAAAGTCTTAGAGAGATCCAGACAAGAGCCCCGGAGCTCTAAATCCCGAAGCAATTATCCCCGAATGCCCCCTCTACTCTCTCTCCGGATGGACGGAAACCCTAAGCCCTAAACCCTAAACCCCAGACCCTAAAACTCTAAACCCTAAACCCTAAAACCCCAGACCCTAAACCCTAAACCCTAAAAACCCTAGACCCCAACCCCCGGAGGATGCTTGGTTCTTGCCCTTCAGGGCACGAAGCGTGCATCTTGGCCGAACTTGGCCCTGGCCCTCTTCCTTGCTGCTCTTAGGGAGCTTTGGCTTCGGGCCTTGGGGTAAAAAAAATCAACTCTTGGAGTCAGCATACTTGAGTATCTTTGAGTATATTTGAGTATATTTGACTGTATTCAAAAATAATTGGAATAGGGTTTTGGGGCATATTATGCTATATCTATAATAAGAAACCACCCAAATTATTGTGTATATTATAAGTGTATCGTTGGGATGCGGAGCTCTGGGCCCTACACTGCCCCTGCCCCTCCCCTCCAAAAGCCCGGATCCGAGCCAGGCTCCGATAACCAGCACTCGACTCTCCTGCTTGGAGGCTAAGGGTTTAGGGTTTAGGGTTTAAGGTTTAAGGTTTAGGGTTTAGGGTTTAAGGTTTAAGGTTTAGGGTTTAGGGTCTACTTGGAGGATCATGGGGCTTAGTAAATATCAGGTTATAAGGCCCTTAGTTGGGGTTATAAGTATAGTTCCCCTAATTATAACCCCTACTTACTAAGCCCCATGATCCTTTAAGTGGGGGCCCGTGATCGGCGAAGGTATCCCATCCACGTTGCCGCAGAGTTAGGCGATGCAGGGATGGTGGAGATGCTGATCCAGGAGCCGTGGGGCAAGACACACTCTAGGACCCTAGGACGACACGGTTTGGCAATTGGAGTGTGGGGCTGTGTATGGCCAGGGCTGTTTTGTTGCCAAGCTGCCAAGCTCTCCACTACGTGCTGAATTTTTTGCCCGCAAAGGGTGGCTGCTGGCTGCTGGCTATGTAAGTTAACTTGTAAGCGCTTTGTGCCGTCCGTCTCGGCCTGGTCGCAGGTGAAGAAGTCTCCACATCACGGGCTTTTCACATTCCTTGATTCGATTTTGCATATCCGGTGCTGCCAAGATCGACCCACCGATCACGAGCCTGAGAAGCGTGTTGCTAATAACCGCTGACTGACAGGAGGGTGCCGACCCGGCGCAGCGGACGTCCAACGGCAAAATGGCCTCCCAACTCGCGCGGAAGCGAAACAAAGGCAGCGAGCTCTGGGCTTGTCGTGGATGTCCTTTGCTTTGCATCGCAGCACGTGGAAAGCGCCTTGGTGCCTGAGGGAACATGGCCATCACTTGGCAAATCGGTTTGCGTGGGTGAAACTTCCACCTGAGCTCCAATTCGCGTTGCACCCCAGGCCCAGTAAACGTCCAAACCTAAAGCCAAACTTCCTGGACCGTCGAAGCAGTGCTAAGCCCCTTTGTCCAGTCCCAGGCGGATCCCATGACGCAGTTCTGAGAGTCCTTAGCTCTAAGGCGGCCCCTTGTGGTGGCGCCTGAGGAACCGGAAGTGTTCCGATTCCAAAGCCTATAGTTTAGGATTTATAGGGTTTAGGGTTTAGGGTAGTTTGAACACATCCATAAGAGTTTGTATGCGCAGATACATACAAAGAGCCAGAGCGACGGACACACGGATAGACATGCATATGGGCTTCAGAAGACAAGGTATGGCATGTCATAGTCATCGCATGGACAACAACAGAAATTGCAATAGTAATCAGCATATTGGTCATGTCCCTATTGTAATAGCTGCAATCTATAGTGTCTCTTCTTGCTGCCATGAAGCAGTGATGACAAGAGCAAGACTAGATTCGAAGGCACTTCTGGGCAGGCTCTACCGGTCTAGGACTTCAGAAGGAGGTCCGAAACCACTCCTTGCCGAGTGCTCTCTGCACTTGCACCAGGCTGTCTGGAGATTTGTTTCGGGTTTGAGGGGAGTTTGTAGGGTTCTTATAATTATAAAGGCTTCTACAAGCTTCCATAAGAATTCCATACTGGTTTGAGGTTTGGGCTCAGGAACTGGGTCTAGGTCTCAGAATCTCAGAATGTGTAAGATTAATCCATTCTGTGATATGCTTGATGGGAACAAATTCCGTTCAGGGATGTGTGACTGTTTATATGTGGTCGTATTCCCGTACTGTATTGCCTCGTTCAAGGCTACTAAGTAGCAAAGGTTCCCTAAACCCTAAACCGTGGGCATTCTCTCCCCATGTTGCCAGGAACTTGGAGCAGCAACAGCAGCAGCAGTGCCTGGAAGCCCCCGATGTTGACCGATCATCCTATCATCCGATGCACTTGGCTTCTTGCAGATTGAGCGTAGAAGTGCTTGGCTTGCAATGCTTCCAGACAGCTTAATTCGACGCGGTGCACCAGCAGATAATCTTCATGTCACTGGTGCTGGGGGAGCATGCAGCTCTCTCCGAATTCGAGCGTGCCCCAAACTACCAATCACAGGGCTTTGCTCTTTCATCAGAGAACAGGTCTTGGGCCGTTCATGCCAATCGGTTACTGCTGTTGGAGCATGCACGATCCATCGGAAGCAGTCTCGGACAGAGTCATACAGTCGCGGTGCGACCGTTAACTGCTGACTCGCTGCTTGCATATCCCAATCTACCGAAAAGAAGATGGGCTGCAGTGCGTGTCTTGTTTCAGCTACTGCTAAAAACGCTTCTTCTTATGCACCAACGATTGTCTCAACGCCATAGCGGATAGAGCTTTTTCCCTTGTCAATAAGTCTGTTTCTACTGCTGCCACCATCACCACCACTACCACTTGCCACCACCACCGTCACTGCCGGCACTACTACTACCACTGCTCCGGCTTTTTCTGCCTGCCACCACTGCAACCACCACCACTACCATCGCCACGATCACGATGATGAGGACGCCGTCGACGGCGAATACGACGACGACAGCTGCTACTGCTGCTACTGCCACACAGCTGCTACGTAGCCTTTGAGACATACCCATAGCCTCCAATGTAGTTCCTTTTTGGGATTACCTTACAGGATCCAAAATATGAACCCCAAAAAGGAACTCCAATGGAGCCCATGGGTATGCATGCTTTGTTCAGCACACATCAGACTCGCTTTTTGCTGCTTCTTCACGCGTTCAAGGTTGTAAGCCTCCAACCCCGAACCTCAGATTCCGCTGCGGAGGCCTACAAGAAGGAAAGAGAGCGCCTCTTCGTCTTCGGGGCATCGATCTCAGGCTACCGAACTTGCGGCGCTACGTCTGCTCGGATTAGGACTTGTAGCTGGGTCTGCAAACTTGGCTTAGAGCTTGTTGTTTGACTCTCTTGGGGCGGGGGAGCGGGGGTGGGCCTAAACCCGAAACCCCAAACCCTAAACCCTAAACCCTGAACCTTAAACCCTAAAACTTAAACCCGAAACCCGAAACCCTAAACCCTAAACCCTAAAGCGGCTCGGTCGGATGCAGGGGTCGGGGCACTGGGTCGCGGCTTGTGTTGCATGGGCCCGGTTCCTGGAGATCGGCCCTGGAGCCTGGTCCCAACACTGGGTCCAGCCTCGGTTTAGGGTTTACGGTTTAGGGTTTAAGGTTTAGGGTTTAAGGTTTAGCGTTTAGGGTTTAAGGTTTAGGGTTTACGGGGTTTAAGGTTTAGGGTTTACGGTTTAGGGTTTAAGGTTTAGGGTTTAGGGTTTAGTGGCACAAACAGCAGCAACGGTTCAAAGGAGCGCATCCTTGAGCAAGAACACACTGAGGCAGTTTCCAGCCGCTGCCTCTGACTGTAACTGCAGCCGTGCTGGGATGGTGATTCACGGCACATATCTCTGGGGAGGCGACGCCCCAAGGCAGACACAGGGTTCACCCAAGAACGGACGTGTTGTGCAGCTTCTGCACATCTCCATATGGGTAGTTCTCTAAATTAGGGTCCCTTTTTAGGTCCCCGATATAGTACGGCACCCTTATAAAAAGGACCCCAAAACAAACCCTAATTTAGAAAACGACCCATATGCATGGTCCCTGTTGATTGCCGATGGAGTCGCAGCATCCTCACTAGGTCAGTTTTTTGTATCCTCTTGCATGCCTTTGTTCACGAGAAATTCGTCCAAGTGACGGTGTAGTTTTTTGTCTGGACCGCTCCGGCCCCAGCCGTGCCCAAGTTAGGGATTTGTCGCTTCAGATGTACTTTATCTCATTCCGAGTTCCGGATGAAGCCACTTTCTACCGACATAATATTGGATCCAAGCCTCGCAGCCCTGCTCGCAGAGACGGCAGCTGATATGAGATGTATCATCGAGTCATCAGGCACAGTACAACTACACTACATGGCGGAACTGCAGTTCTTGACAGGGCCCTGCATGCTGGTTCCGGGAGCTGCCCAAGGCATGTCGCGCTTGTATATTAATGCCTGCGTAGCTTCGGCGGAAGCTTCAATGCACGATTCGCGACTCTGTGAGCATGCGTCTGTCAGTCTCTTCATAAAGTGACGCTGCCATGACTACGAGTCTGTGTGTACACACATGCACAAATACACGCGCTTGTTATTATTGTTGCCATAGTTATTCTGATGTTGTCCATGGCATGTTCGATGGTGCTCATCTCGCCATAAGACCCTTAGACTTGCAGCCATTAAGAGTTCAAACACGTCAAGCAGGACCACATCGCTTCCAAGATGGCTGGTGCAGTTCCAGTTCGTCAGTTTCGGGTAGTTCGGTGTATGTCCTAGGGCTTTTGCGCACATATTGCATGCCCTAACACCAAACCGAGCCTCACGGCTTAACCTGAGTCCTAAGCTCTCAAGCCCGAAAGCCCCGAAAGCCTCGGACCTTGTTACTTGTGGTTTATGGTGGCGTGTTGAACACACAGCAACCAAGGCACCCAAGTATATATAGAAAACCAAGCAGGGGCCCTGATGGGATATCGCAGTGTCAGGAATCTTCATGAGTAGCCTCTTGAGGAACATCCAGAGGAATTCAAAGCCGGCACAAGAGAAGCGGCCAAAACATCGGCCTTTGCTTCCATGTCGCTGCCACCCAACTGGTCCAAGTCACTCGGCTCCACTAAGTCGGCGAGGAGCATGCCAGCACGGTACATAAGATCGAGAGCAGTACCTGTGGTATCGCATGGTAGTTCAGGGTGTGTGCTCTCACCATCGTGCAAGCATGTCGGCATGTAATTTACTCATGCTGCGCATGATTCTCCATGTGGGGCCAAAACACTTGTCAAAAGCCCACTGAAGACATCTGCCATTCATGCCGGAAAGGTATACGACGGACGAAGGAAAAGAGTGCCCCTGGGAGGACGAGCAAGAGTAGCCAACTTTCGCAGCGTGATGCGGCGTCTGGATAGGTCGGGCTTAGCTGCTTCGGGGGTCGTGCCAAAGTACGCCGCCTTCGCAGCAAGCGTGGCTTAATTTGCGGCCGGTGCTGAGTACAGCTTGCTTATGAGTGGGGGGTGGCACTTGCTTTCGAGGTACTATCACAACTCGTCAACAAACCAGACGCAGTGGGAGAAGCCTGAATGGCCGGGCGCCAATTCTTGATGCAACTGCTGAGACGCTCATAGTGCAATTCAGGCCCTTGCTTGTACCATTTTCGGTATAGCCTAAGCTTCCAAGCATTTGCCCAGTGTCTGCCGTTGTGTTATGCAGACATCACTGATATTCCGTATGCGGCCCTTGCATCTAGGCCCCTGGCAGGTGAAAGGTGACAGCTCCGGAGAGCCTGAACCCTACTTGGAGGTTCATGGGTAGTTATAATTGAGGTTATAAGTAGGGTAGCTACACTTATAACCCATATTAGGGGACTTATAACCACACTTATAACTACCCATGAACCTTCAAGTAGCTTTCAGAAGCCCCAGGCCCCGGAACCCGAAGCTGCATCCCCCAACAGGTCGAACACCCTTTTATTTTAGGCAAAAGCTCCTTGATCCTGGCGGCCTAAACCCTAAACCCTAAACCCCTAAACCCTAAACCCCCTAAACCCGTAAACCCTAACCCGTAAACCCCTAAACCC